GATCGCAACCTTTTTTTATGCATCCTCCTCCTGCTAACCTTGTGCGCGTTTAGCTTGATAATTAATACTTATTGGTGATAATTAAACATAAACATATTTAGTTTCTTGGTATTAATAGCATATAATCATTTCTAGCTCAGCCTTTTTAACTTCTGCCTTGGATGGTAAATGGAGGAATTGCTAACATGACTCAGCTAATAAGTGAGTAATGAGTAGTGACGAGTTTTCTTGTGCCGCCTCCTCGGCCTCATGCAATTTGGCGTTCTTTTTTTACTTTGCATTGCCTAGGAGATGTAACTTTGACCATTATTTTTCTACAATACTATCATGTTTCCAAAAAGTATATGTTGGACGAACCAATTTTTATTTTCATGCAATGACATGGATGAAATACTTTTTTATACTGTACTGTACTATTCAAGGATAAAGTTGTCTGTATGCAAACCACAGTAACTTATATGTGAAACAAAAGGAGTATCATAATTTTTTTGTTTGCTGGAAAAGAATAGTTTATTGTCTTGGATTGGTTGACCACTATTCATTTTCCCAATTCAAATATATGGTCTTTCTTTTGTTGAGATAAATCATTGGCCAACATAGTGTACCATTTTGTAGATATTGAAACCTTACGATTTCAAACCTTTCCCTGTGTTGTGGCATGAAGATAATAGTCGGCGACAGACACGAGACAGGTATGGTTACCATTTCATATGTTCTTAGCAGAAACTGTTGACACTACTGCATTAAGTACCGTGTATAGATTACTGGAGTACATCCTATTCTATCAGATGGAAGATTAATACACATCTTATTCAGGACACAACTAATGGCAAAACTGATAAAAATCCTTTCTCTTTAGCTGTAGCCTGGCTAATTGATAAATTCTTTGCTTTCATTCTGAACGCTGTACTTTTTCTCTTTAGCTGTAACCTGGCTAATTGATAAATTGTTTGCTCTCATTGTGAACTTTGTACCTTTCCTCTTCAGCTGTAGCCTGGCTAATTGATAAATTGTTTGCTCACCGATTTGATAATTCCAGGCCTCAGGTGCATGGAGCTCTGACAGGTTCTGTCTTGGGAGAGGCTGCACATCGTCTACTGAAAAATTCCCTGCAGATCAAATCTGGCAGCTCTGCTGGGCTGCTTCATGTTCCATACGGAGCAGCACCCTATGGCCCTGGAAACAGAGCAAGGCCCTCTGGACCTTTGGGATATGAGAGGGGTTTTGTGGACAATCCATACCATGCACACATGTCCAGAAGCGCTCCAAATCCTCGGCCTCAGTTCTTTGGTGAAGCTCAACCCAACAGACAGAATGTGCGGATACTAGAGCGGCCAAACAATCGAAACCATGATGGTGGCATCCATTCAGGGATGTCAAAAATGACCATTCAAGATGGGCCAAGAATGCATCAAAATCCCAGGATGCAGAGTCCTGGATATTTTCCAAACCAGCCATATCCGAATCAGTATGGTGGGTTCCCACCCCAGCGGCCCATGCAGAACGCCAGTTTTACACCGCAGCTGCCTTTCCAAAATGCACCATTCCCACAGCAGCGGCCTGTTCAAAATGCAGGATTCGCACAGCAGCGGCCTGTTCATAATGCAGGATTCGCACAGCAGAGGCCTGTTCAAAATGCAGGATTCATGCAGCAGCAGCAACCAGTGAACGGGGTCCCCCCACCATTACCTCCCAGCACTTGGATCGGCAAGCAACCAAGCGGAGGCCAGGCTGGTACACCTGCCAGGCAGCAGGACCCGAGGACAAACAGACAGCCTAAGCAGGATAATAGACAGCCAAGGCAGGATAACCTGAGATCACAGCATGAGAGCAGGCAGCAGGCTGCCAAGGTGGTATACCGTGTCAAAGGCCAAGCTCCCAATGGCTTGCCGGAGTGAAGATAACCATGAAGAATCCGCAAGCCGAGCGATTTGCCGAACTGCTGCAAGATGATGATGTGTTGTGTTCCATGCGCACGGGCATGCTGCTACAAGGAGGTTCATTCAACTCAAAACATACTCCTTCTGGAAGCAGCCGTCCGCCCTTTAATTTATCGTCCCATTGCTGCACCTGTTGTATCCCCGTCTGAATGGAGTTGAACTGTTGATGATCAAGTCGAATGGAGTTGACCTGCTGTATCGTGCTGAATGATCTAGGACAATGATTTAGAAAAAAAAAACGTTATCAAGTCGTTAGGACAGAATGTGAGCACTGAGCAGAGGGCAACCACTGCTGTTGTATGCCTGTAACCCTGAAGCTGTTTTTGTGCGTAACAATTACCCTTGCCGGTGGCAAGGCCTGACTGAACCCCATCATTTCTTAGTGCGTTTGGACAAGACTAGCTGTTGCTGCCGCTGGTGTGTCGTGTCTCGTGTCAAGTTCGGCTACTGTTGCCGTGGTAACTTTGTCTTTGATTTTGTACTACTGCTACAATAAACCTTGCCTCCTGCTGGTGTGTGAGAAGCACTTGGGTTGTTTTTATTCTATATCCAGTTCACACACTAGTCTGACCAGGCCAGCGTTACTCACCACCGGGCGTCGGTGGGGGCTTTGCCTACCAGTGCGCCGGTTAGTGGAGTCGTCAGTGGAGAGAACGAAAAAAGAACACACACAAAGTACAGCGAAATCGGAATTAGTGTACCAATTCTAGCATATCCGATAACAAGTTCAAGGGATTATTAGGCTAGTAGAGTACGTAGATTTCATGATTAGCTAGTGATAGGTTGGTCCTAGAAAATACTAGCCCCGCACACACAATAATGCACCCCTGCCGCTGTTCCAGAGCAGAGCCGGAATGAATCGCCCCGCGTGCTCCTCCGCAAAGGGCCGACCAACCCGCACTGTTCCACTGCATCTCACGCCACGCCTCCAGCTTTTCCTCCCCCCAGAAACCCCTACGCCGCGCTCGCCCAGCCCGTCTCCCCTCCAGGCGGGCCCGGCCCCACC